TCCTGCCAGGATGGAATGAATTATAAAGTGTATATGTAACATTTATCCTGTCATTAAAAAAAAATATTCCGCGAGTTTATTCAATAACAATGAGACGTTGTTAATTCTTGGAAGATAGGAAAAGCCACCTGGGGCCTTTTGGAGTTAATTTATTCCACACAGAAGACTCCATTCAGGATTTACCTGGCTTCTCTGTATTGCCTTTGCATGTCCCTCAGGGCAACTTTATCTAGATGGGACTTCAGTTTTCTTAACCCAATTGGTCTGCAAGGAGAGCTCAGAGGGTTTGATGCCGATGCAAACTGAACCTCTATTTTAGCGCGCTTTGGTGAAATCAGAAGGAAAATATAGGTGACATGCAAAGAATGAAACTCAAATTTCACCCCAAATTTAACTTCTTCAAAGAAGTTTAGAAAATAACTTTACTGTGCAAACCCATCTTCATACTAATTTTGAAACGAACACTGCTTCCAACAATGTATACGGAGTAGATTTAAAGGATAACATGTGACCCTTTTTCCCCCTCTCCGCCTCATTAGATTTTAATAAGATGATAATAGGAGAAAAGATTGCACCACGTTTTGAGGCAAGGAGAAGTTCCTCAAGAGCCCTGCCTCAGTGAGAGTTGGAATTGGAATAGCAGGGTGAAATCAAAGACGTGTGAGCTACCTACGCCTAGAGAAAGGGTAAACGTCTCCCAGATTTATCACAATTGTGATTTTTTTGTTTTACATTTAAGTCAAACATTTTCCAGCTTGTTATAGTTTTGAAAACCCATTTTCATAATTTATGTAGCCCAATCTGATATACTAATGCAATGATGTAGTCAGAAAAGGTACTATTGAAACAAAGATAGAGTTAAGATCAGTGCACGTGTGTGGACGCAGTCTCAGGACACCGAGGTGCTGGGTTTCAGCTCCCATAGTTGTGGATTTGGGGAGCTCTTCTGGCACCCGGTGGATGCCCGGCATAGAGGTGTGTTTGCTCTCTTGCTATTCAGATAAAGTTTCCATACACAGCAATGTTTTCTAAAATTCTCTACAAGCTGCCTGGCACACAGTAACTTGTATGGAAAGAGTGATACGACAGGAGAGGCCTGGCTGATATAAGGGTGTCGACTTCCGTGGGGGAGAACAGGTGGGCCTGGTGACAGGTGGACAGCAGTTATGGATCGTTTAACAATGGCGACATTTTTTTTTTAAGTTCTTGCCATAAGTGAGGACTGCTTCTTCCATCTCCATAGTTGTTTAGTATATTTAGTGGTTGGAACAGTGCTGGGAAATTAGTATTCCAGCGTCATTTCAAACATGGGGAAAGACGGAAAATAAAATGGGTGGCTCTGAGACTCTAGGGCAGGTGTCTTGAAAGTGAAAACCTAAGCTCTTTCTCTTGAGACCTAGGGGTTCGTTCCCTCAAAGAGATTTGCTTCAGCAGAGTGAAAGGAATTACATGAAAGAACAGAAATATTAAATGACTAGAAATGCTTCCATGCCTCATATATCCATTCCCAGTTGAGCATAATTTTCTGCCCCCAAACTACTGTATTAGCAAGTTCCCCTCTTGTATTCCACTTTGGAATTTGATGGGGGTGGAGAAAGTGTAAGATTAGAAGTGCACCCGATTTACAAGTGGGAGAAAAGGGAGAAAGCTGGAAATGATTGTCGCCTTTCTCCATGTTACTGACAAAGTGGGAAGGACAAGAAGAAAGATTTCTGGTGGTATAGCTGTCATTGATTCACTTGACAGCTAGAAACGCTTAACCTTGGTTTCTGTCACCTCTAAAACACACGGAAATATTATCCTTCTCATTCATAAATAATATAAATAAGGTGTGACATTAGAAAGATTACATTAATGACCTTTCAGAACATATTTCTTGATTACACAAAATAAGTTCAGTGCCTTCAGATATGTAAACATCTGTACCTGAATTTAAAAAAATGGAGCGAATGGTATGTAGAGCCAACTGAAGTCATAAAAATATGAAATATTTTAGTTTATAGTTGTGCTATGCAATAAATCCTAGGGGAAGGGTGGCTCCTGGAAAACAAAAATAGCACCAAATCATTTACTAGTTTACTTGATCTTGACTCACTTCACAAAATAGTTGTATCTAAATATAGTACATGGAAGTTATACATTTTTCAGAATGAATAAAATAGTAGAGTGGCTCTACTAGCATTTGGCTCCACAGACATTAATTTCCCATGGGATTTGCTTCCTATCTTCCAATCCCTCCTATTCTGCCTCTTCGCCCTCACCTGTCCCTCCTCCATTTCCAGGATCTACCTTGTTGTTGTGCAGCAGAGGTCAAAGGAGACCATAAATCAGGGAATCCTACCTGAGTACACAATGATGCCATATCAGTACAAACTCAGCTGCAATATTATTGCAATGCGAAGATAATTTTTACATATCTAAGGAACAAGCAATATACATCATGCTAGTTTTACTTTTATTACTTATTATTTCTGAATCCTGAGACCAAGATTCATCAATGTGGTGTTAATTTATATGCTAACTTTACAGCTGGGTGTGGTGGCTCATGCCTGTAATCCTAGCACTCTGAAAGGCGGAGGGGGGCAGATCCTTTGAGCTCAGGAGTTCAAGACCAGCCTGAACAAGAGTGAAACCCCATCTCTACTCAAAAAGTAGAAAAAGAAATTAGCTAGACAACTAAAAAAATATATAGAAAAAAATAGCTGGGCATGGTGGCACATGCCTGTAGTCCCAGCTAACTCTGGAGGCTGAGGCAGTAGGATTGCTTGAGCCCAGGAGTTGAGGTTGCTATGAGCTAGGCTGACACCATGGCATTCTAGCCAGGGCAATATAGTGAGACTGTGTCTTAAATAAATAAATATAATAATAATAATATTAATTTATATTCTAACTTTAAAGCAGACATGTAGAATATATTTATAGATTTAAAAATGATTTTCTAAGAAATAATTTAATCATAGGAAGAGAGAATAATATTTTGTTCATTATTTTAGTGCTGTTTTTCATAGAGCTATGGAGTAGGTTTGGTATGCTATGTTTGCTATGTTTACAAGATTAAATAGCATTTTTAACTAAATATAACTTGGACTTATCTATATAGTACTACATAATTATATATAAATGAGTTTTAGTTATTATTTTATTCCATAGCTTCCTTAAAATCAAAAGATTTATATGAATGATTAAAGATATATGAAACTATTATATCTTTAACTTAATTCTTAAGTTATTAAAACAGAAGTACACTCTGGGGCCTAAATGAATATTGTCACTTAGGTTCCTTTTTGATGTGTAAAACTACTTTATTCATTGTCTATGATACCGTAGGTTCCCTAGGATGTTATGTTACTCATTGGATGTTGGTTTCATGTGACCAAATACTTTACAGGATGGAAACTCATACATAGTTTCCTTGGTAGTCATTCTAGTAGATTTAATCATGATGACTCATTTTGGCACTGTGCAGCTGTAATAGGTAATTCCATGGGAATCCTAATGCAATTCAGTAATAATTAAAGTCCACTAAGCAGAAAAACATGTGGCAACGTCAGGATACAGACGTCAGTTGTCTATCGTGGGTTTAAAAAAAAAAGTGTGATGTAAGAATGCCGAGAAAGCATGTAGTAGAAGGTCTTAGAAAGATGAAAGGAACAGGGTTGTCTTAAATCTCTTTTCAGAATTTTGATTAGTTGATTTGCACATAGAATATAATAGTGATAACAGCTACCATTTATTGACCACCTATGTGCCTAAGTACTTTACATAATTATCTTATTGAATTTCTGGAGCAGCCATGAGACAAAGGTATTTCAGTGCTTATTTTACAAAACACAGGGAAATGATGCTTAGAGAGGTGAATCAACTTGCCCACAACCCCATTGTTAATGAGACGCAGAGCTGGCATCGAAAAATCAGGCTTTCTGAATCCAAAGTCTTCCTTTGTTTCAAAAAACTGTATTTCCACTGAAGATCATGATTTCCTAGGGTATATCTAGTCCTCTTTCAGAAAACTTTATGCTTCTAAATACTTTGGGACATTTCTTCATGACTTTTGAACACTATTTAGAAAAATCTGATTGCTCTGATTCAAAGACAGTGACAAGCACACAAGCTCTTGCCATTTGCCTTTAAAAAAAATTACATTCGTCCTGATCAGGCAAAGTGAGAGCCAACCAAGGGGCATGATTTTAGAAACACCAGAATGACTTGTCAAAAGAAATAATCTTATACGTCTATCCACCAAATCTGAAACACCATACTATTGCATTTCTTCACTTCCTACTAAAAAAGCAAAATTTTTTTGTAGAGTTTCAGGAGGAGTGAGAAGTGGTGGTGGAGGAACAAAGTGTGGGTTGGAGACTAGGGAAGCCTGGAGTTGGAGAGGGGAAATGGAACCCAAGGCTTTAAGCCTGATGCTGTTGCTTGTGAATCATTTTAGGGTAGTGACCACACTTTATTCCGTCTCTCCAGCATCTAACCCAGTGCCTGGCACATGGCTTTTCTTCCATTATCGTTTCCTGGGGTGAATATGAGGCCTTTTCAGGTTTGTTTGTCTTTTTTTAAATAGAATAGATTTGGAGAAGAGAAACAAAAAGAGAACCCAAACATCTTGGGTGATTGGGTTAGGGGTGGAAGTCATCCCATAGGACTTTCAGGATTTTGCGAGGAGGTAGAATAAGGAGACAATGGAAGTGTAGGATACAGATAATAGCGTAATACAGTAATAGTAGAATTTAGAGCAAAGACTTTGGAGTCAGAGAGAATCCTGGCTCTCTCTCCAATAACCATAACACCTTCTACCAATTATTTAACCTAGATCTCAATTCCTCATCTCTAATGTGGGGATTGACAATTCCATCCAACCATCTGTCCAGCCAGCCATGCAATTACTTAGAGGATATTTGTAGAGATGAATGTAATAATGCATGTAAAGTACTTGGTACACTACCAGCAATATAGAAAGCACTAAAAAATAATGATTTTTAAATATCAGTCCTCACCACATCTCTCCAATGTAGGTATTAATATCTTTAGTTAATAAATCAACTAATGCTTATAAAGAATGACTGACCTTCCCAAGATCACATAACTAATAAGTGACAGTGGTTTTGTCCTGGTCTCTTGATTATCATCCTATATTAATTATTTAAAAACTGTAAACTTCAAGGACCTCACAATAAGGAGGCCTGGCTTCCTAGTCTACTGAGCTTATCATACTCATTCATTCACATAGGTTTATGTAGGCTGGTAGAAGTTGCTGATAGTAAATTTCAAATTTAGGAATAAACTCTGACTCAGGCTTCTATTTTCAGATTTTGCATGTTATTATTGCATTGCTGTAAATTCTCCACTTGTATTTCCTTAGCACATGGCAGGTAGAAAGAGGCTTGGACGTTGGCAAGAAACTGCCTCATTACCGGTCCCACATTATATGAATTCCTTTCCTTGCATGCCAAGGTATGAGTTGCTCTTTTGCTTTATTTGAGGCGGTTTAGTTTAATTTTTCATTATGACAGGTTTTCATCTCCAATTCTTTATTTAGAGCATGGTTCTCAAAACTTTTTCATTCTGTAATCCCTTTGAGGGTTTCCACAACCCTCAAACATACCTTGAACCACTTTGCTCTCAAAATAAAAGCATGGAAGAATAATTCAGCTGTTGGGAGGAGAAGCAGGTGACGTTTTTGCTTTTTGTGATCCTGCAGAAGAAGCACTCAGCAGTTGGGGAAAGGTGGAAAGTGGAGAGATAGCAGGGCAGACGGGCAATCAGGCCCCCCAGAGAAAAAGATGGGAATTGAAAGCTGCCCTCTTCTAACAGATGTTAGGAGTGTCCAGCTCTGGTCCTGTGACTCCCTCTGAATATACCTGGGGAAACATGACATCCTCTTTGAGACACATTGATTTGAAACAAGGAGCTTTCTCTCCTTTTGTCCCTATTCCCTGCCTTTCATCTCAAAACCCCTCCCTTTCCACCACTTTCCCTACTCCTCTCTTCCCTCTGGCCTGGCCCCACTCCTTGTCCTCATTCACCTACTCCTGTTCCAAGGATTCCAGAGACTGCATCTATTTTTCTTTGATTTCTCGAGTGGTCTCACTTCCTCATAACCTCATTGCCTCCTAGAAAGCCTCAGTTCCCAATTCAGCTTTTGTCCTTTGGACCAAATGGAGCTCCCAGCAAATCCGCGCTGGCGTTCTCTAGCTTTGTCTCTTTACTCGTACCTGGTTTTCCCAAATTGATCACGTTGCAGCTGTTTTTCTCTTTAACTTCCCCCTTCAGTTTCAGGGAAAATAAACTGCTTCCTGACTTCAGTGCCTGGCGGGAGAGTGATGTTATCCTGCGTGATCCTGAGTTGCTTAACTACAGAGTTAGAGGAAGTGAACGCTCAGCATTGTTTGCCTGCCCGTTGGGTAACACGTTTGTTTTTTTTCTTGGGGATGAAGGACTTCTTGACTTTTAAGGGCATCAGGCTTAAGTTCTGCCCTCGTATAAAGAGTGTGTGTGGTCACTGAGAGTTCGACTGCCACCAAGGCCTTACGTGTTTGCGCGGCTGGCCCTCTGCCACTTATTCATTCCAACAGCCTCCCTGGTGTCTGGTTCTCATCTGGTCCTTCCTAAGACCATTTGCTTTGTGATATATCACTGAGATTTCTGTCATCACTTACTCCATAGTTTCCTACGCTAGTGGCAGCGACAGGCTCATGTTTGGTGACTCTATATCGTAACGAATCCGCATTACATCAACTTTACTGCCTTTCTGAGTCCTTATACAATTTGAAATAATTCTTCCTGCTTATTTCAAAACTCTCTGTGGATTTGCCACACCCTCTATTTCCATCTACTTATATTGGCAGTTTAAATATTGTCATTTGGTATCACATTTTTCCTTTCTCCATGTGCAGTAAATGCTTACTATGCCTCTGGGTCTTCCTTCTGGGCAGTCCGCCCCTCTTTTCCTTTCTGGTAACAAGACTGGAGTTATTTCCTCCCTCTAAAGCTTAACTTTGATCTTCCTGGGACAAAAGAAATGTATGATGTGAGGAACTTCTTATTCCTTGCCTGACAGGTAGTCTTTTTTCATTTCGCCTCCTTTCTCTCCTGTCTTTCTTTTTTGTCTTCCTTCTTCTTTTAAAATAATTCTGTCTAGCAATTTCTATACTTATAATGTGCATATTAATCTTGCAATATCATATAACACCTAAATACCGTTGATCTTATTTCACAGGCAATTTTAAAATCCAATTTTTAACAACAAATACTAAGAAATTCAACACATAGTGCATAAATATGCAACTTTAAATCAGCCTTAAAAAATAAGAACACAGTTAACCATCTTATAAATTATTTCCCCTCATTTTCCACTCACTGAGTTATTCTTAAAAATGATCAATATGCCAAGATTCTAGCCCACTTGCTTGGCATAAACCATTACCTGGGTGGATGGATGATATTTTCTCTCAAGTATCAAACCAATACATTATCAAGTATACCTAGATGTTCTTTAATAGATTGGCTTAGATATAGAATATACAAATCACCCATTTCTCTTTTCACTCCTGAGATCCTATATGTTCTTCTGCTTCTGCAGAAGATCCTGTTTCTGCCCTTACAAGATCACGCTAAATGTGATGCTTACTCTGTCACCACAAAGGGTTTTCCTGCCAAGGGCAGTTTATGGGGACTCACTGATCTCCCCATAATATCTAAGTGGTAGCAGAAACTGTGGAGGTTGAATAAACATCATAAACATTTTTGGATTGAACCTGTTTGCATTTCCCCATGATAGCTGGCTTTAAAATTCAGAAGACAAAAAAGAAAAAGAAGCTCTAAATTTTTACAGAGTTTATGAATCTTCCTAATAGTTTTTTTTTTCTTTTTTGTTTTGAATTTACTTTATCATGGCCTTCATCACTTCTTAAAAGCAATAATCACCTCTGGGGAAGAAGTATGAGGAGTGGAAAGCACTGAGGTTTAAAGTCAGATAGATTGAGGTGACAGCCCCATGTCTGTGTTTGCATTAGTGACTTCACTTCTGTGGGTCTCAGTTTCTCATATATAAAGGGGAATAAGAATTCTTAAGTTTCCATCAAAGTTATGGAATTGAAGATAATGTGTGAAAACACCTAATAGTGTCTGGAAATAAAAGGCATAAATTAAATATTACAGTGGTTTATTGAGTTGTGCTATTTATTTTATTCATGAACTGATCCCTACATTGACTTTACAAGTTTAGGCACAGGCAGGCCTCCTCAGTATGATTTCTGAGATACTGGAAAAGTCTGAAAAATGCTCAGAAATCCCCATCCCACATACTGGCCTGATGCTTCTATTCCCACCTTCAATGTATTATTTCTTTGAAGTCTGCCTCATTGTTAAAATGTAAGAATTATGAGGATTAATACCCCAAGTCTGACCAGTGGTCCCCTTTAGATGTGAAAGGATTTATCAGAGATATTTTTAGGGGGATTTGGTTAGGAAAAAGTTAAAGAGACAGATTTAAGGTACTGGGATTCTGGGGTTTGAGGGATTTTAAGAAGGAGTATTTAGTGGTGGGATTAAAAGAGCAATGCCTTGTGGGAGAGAGTGGTACAAAAGCTACACCAAGGGTCTCCTCACATTTGGCCTCTGAATAGAGCAATCATCTCAACCCCGTCAGAATCACCTCAGAAGCTTTCTAAAAGTACATCACTTGGGCCCCTCCCCTCTGAGTAGGATTTAATTGTTTGGGGAGGGTATCTTTAGTGTTTAAAAGCCCTGTAGGTAATTCACATGTTTAGTCAAATTGAAAAGCAAAGAGTTAGAAGAATAGGGCCACACCACAGAAAACATTTTTAACTAGTTATCCCTAAACTATTCACAGACTCTGATTGAATTAAACCATTTTAAACCCAGTCTCTTAAAGAAAAATTTATTTCTTTTTTATTTAATTACTCTTTAGACCTACCTAAAATAAATGTGAGCCCATATTTATTTTCTCAACTGCAACATTTTGTTGAAGAACATAAAGCTTTAATGATAACTAAAAGATTCCAGAATCAGCTCAACACTCAGTACAAGGTAGAGACTTTGCACTCTTATTATTCTTATAGTTCCTGCACTTCATAAATAAGCTTCTCGTTCTTTCTTCATTTCTCACAGGAAGAGAATCACAACAGGATCTTCCAGAAATTCCCTTTAATAATTAATTCAAATAACTACCTTGTTTATTGCTTTATAATGTATAATGTGACTCTTTATATATCATCATGATTGGGGAGATATTATTATTATCTTTCCCACTTGCAGGTGAGTAAACACAAAGTTAGAGAGTCTGAGTGACTTGCCCCAAGTTACATGCAGATTTAAATGCAGAGCCAGAACTCACCCCAGGGCTTTGAGGCTAAAATATTCATGCTTTCCACAGTTCATTATTTTGAATTTCATTCTTGTTTTTAGATATTTGGCTGCATCTTGGTAATATTTTTGACTTAAACTATTTTCTCTGTAATAGTCAGGCCTTTCAAGGATTATATTGTATAGAAAATCCCAGCGCTGCAGGGTTGGTTTCTTTTCTGGGTCTTTTTCTTTTTGAAATACCTGAACTCAGAGTGTGCTAACAAAAAGGTGACCTTAAGTCCTGGTTCAGCCTGGGGTGGTCTTTGTTTTTACTTTTGTCCTGGAGTAATAGTACCCCTTTCACTCTCTAAAGGTCCCAATTTGGATAGTAAATTATATGGCCACCTACCTATGTAAATGTTGGGACATGGCAGTATACATCAAGCTTCCTCTATTTTGCAAAATTAAGTTATTTATTTGACCAGGTTTTCTTTCCATCAATAGCTTCCATAGTTTCTTTATCTCATACCATGTTTTACTTATAGCTTCACTGAGATGTAAATATACTGTGCATCTAGGATAATGAAAGGGTAATAATTTATTAATTTACTAATAATTGATTATATTTATTAATCATTGATTTATATAAGTATGAGGTTACATACTTTACACCCATGATCTCATTGAATACTTGTAAAACTTTGTGAAGTGAGTACTAGTGTATTCCTCATTTAACAGCTGAAAACAGATCTACACTGAAGTATAGAGATGCTAAGAAACTTACTCAGAGCCCATTGGCAGAGTCAGAACTTTAGCCCATGTCTGACTTCAAAGTCCACCCTGCAACTCATTCCAGTAAAATCCAGACTCTCTTCTCTTACCCATTCTATAAGGACAGGTTTCTTACATAGCTATGGAGCAAAAGTTCTTATCCCTGATTATTTGCCAGATGAAGTAGAGCATAAAGGAGTATAAGAAGAGAGAAGTGTTATGTTCAACATGCTGTTGGAAACTTAAACTCACCATATAAGTTGTGTCTACAGCTCCAAGAATATCTGTGGAGAATATTTTAAAAAATAAGCTTAAAATCTCAACCTTTGTTCTAGTATAGACTAAATATTCAGAAGATTTATTTCTTACTCTTCATCCATATGTTTTAAAATGGCTGGGACTATTTAAAGTCAGTCACTTGGCCAGGGAATTTTATAATTTATAACATTTTGAGTTAGTTGAAGCTAGGCCTATCTTTTATTATCCATCTGGATTTACTGTAAGAAAGGACCCAAGGTGTTAAGTGTAAATGAATAGTGCTCAACACAAACATTTGTTATGAGGTTGAAACATTGTAGGTACACAAATATATAGCAGACAGACAAAATTTCTACCAAACAACATGGTATTGGGCAGAAGTCCTGGAAAATGGCAGAAATTTGAATATTGTAAGTGAGGAAAAAGTATCTCTGAAATTCAATCTCAGAAGTACCCTACATGAAAAAGAAAATCAAAATATCTGTAGTATGACCTAAATGTTGTAAGTCCTAGTAGAGTTAGAGTTTAGGCTAATTGGTATTGGCTAATTGGAATTCGGTAATTACTGAGTATAAATTCTGACTTCAGGGAGGCCAGGGTAGTAGTGAATATGAAATACAAAATCAAATCAATATGTTGTTGACCATTTTTGTGATGTTTGAGGGAATATTCTGGGGACAAGGAGTTGAGAAAGCTTTCTGAATACAGACAGTTGAACAACAAGGAAAAAGATAGAGGGCACTTTTTTTGTAGACAGAAGGAATGTGGCTGTATTTGGGAGTGAGAAAAGGCCAGGTATGTGTCAGTGGCCAACGAAAGGCAGCTCTGGGGGCTGGGCAGGAGGATTGTCTCTTGGTGGCTGCATAATGGACAGTCGTGCACACAGGTGAGCAGTCTCAGTAGTAAAATTATTCAAGGCCAGCACTAAAGACCAAGTAATAAAGTGGGAAATGGCTGTGACAAGAGCCGCGTGGTGAGGATGAAACATTTCTTTTGTATGACGTTAAAAATTCTGAAGAAGATGGAAAACCAAATGAAGATATAACTTGAACAGGCCTAGATTAAGAAATTTTGTAGAGGTTATTGCAGAGGGAGAATGTGAAAAAAAAAACAAAACAACAAAAGATGAACGCGGAAGTATTTGAGATTAAGGAATAAAGCTGAAGTATAGACCTTCTTCTATGAGCTAGCACAGATCTTACTCTTCTTTTTTTTTTTTTTTTTTTGAGACAGAGTCTCACTTTGTTTTCCAGGCTAGAGTGAGTGCCGTGGCATCAGCCTAGCTCACAGCAACCTCAAACTCCTGGGCTCAAGCGATCCTCCTGCTCAGCCTCCCGAGTAGCTGGGACTACAGCATGCGCCACCATGCCCGGCTAAGTTTTTTTTATATATATATCAGTTGCCAATTAATTTCTTTCTATTTTAGTAGAGACGGGTCTCGCTCTTGCTCAGGCTGGTTTTGAACTCCTGACCTTGAGCAATCCGCCCGCCTCGGCCTCCCAAGAGCTAGGATTACAGGCGTGAGCCACAGCGCCCGGCCTCTTACTCTTCTTTTTACAGAGGTGGAATAGAAAGCAGATTTTCTTCCATTCAGCCAAACTAAACACTAATAAAATTGGCCGGCATGAATGCAGAAATAAATCATCCCAAACATGATTAATGTGCACATGTAACCGGGTTTCTGAAAGCAGGTACAAAGAATATTTTTTCCACCATCACGTAAACTCTATAACCGGTCCATGATTTGGGATTTTAGAATAAGAAAAAACAAAACCCAGCTCTAAGTGTTGACTTCTATGAGGAGTAGTCCTTACAGATGTATTTGGCAAGAAAAAAAAATGAAAACAGTAAATTTTGAAATTTCTTCTTGTTTTTCTTTATCGTGAGAATTTAATTAGTTTATAATCATAATATGCTGTTAATTTTCATAAAAGGCCATGTTATTACAGTAGTTACAATGGTTCTGAAAGGTCCGCCGGTGTGAATAGTAACTCTCTGTTGAAGGCTATAGAGATGTTTGAAAATGTATCCAACAAAGAGAAGCCACAAAAGACTAAGTCAAACTGTGAAGAAGGTTAAATTTGTATTTGGTTTTCTCTCACTTCTTTGTGCTCTTTCTACTCTCACTTAGATTCCCAGCTTTCTCTCTTCATCATAGAATGGCCCTCAGGACCATTTCCTCAACATCCTTACACCCTTCTCAGGCCACGGACCCTCACTGACTTACTGTATCTTCTTTCTGCTCTCATCAGAACTTCCCAGTCCAGTTCCTCTTCCCCCAGGGATTTATAATCCTTCCTAGGGAGATGCTAGTAAGCGACCAGGCTCAGTGAGTGTGCAGACAATATTGGCACTCTGCCCAGGCCCCCACCAATCCCGTGTTTCCACTTTGGGGGCTCTCTTAGCTTATTATGCTTCTGTTTTCAATGACCATAATATATTGCTTCAGAAACCTCTTTGCCCACAAGAATTTAGGAATGGACATGCTCCTGGAGTGGTCCTTAATGAACAACCGAGGAGTGTAAGGTTACGAAGGCCGAGCTCTGTCACTTGGGCTGGGGACACTCTGAGGCCTGGCTTACTTTTCAGGATTCAAGGATCTCCACCTGTAGAATCAAGGTGGACCTTGCGTGGCTTCTTCCTTCTTCTCTCCTGATAGGCCCTGGAGGTACAGACATCTCTTCCACATAATCCTTGACGCAGGGTCTGCTTCTGGAGTACCTAATTTAAGGTAATGTGTTACTTTTTCAGAATAATTCATGTGTTAGCTATGATTACTGACGGCTTGCTGCTTTAGCTCAAAGGACATACCCTTCAATGATGGAACAGCATATTTATGAAAGGTAGGAACTCCATGTGCAAGTGCCTTTAGATAGTCCCTTGAAGTCTGTAGGTGACTACCCAGTTGCATATGTATAAGTCAAAGTTCGGTTATAGCTATAGGCTAGGTTGTATCTTCAAATCCAAGTCACTGTGTTTCTCATCTATAAAAATGGAGAAAATCAATTAACTTCCTCATGAGGTTGTTGTGAAGTTCAAATAAGGTACTAAAATTACTTAGTGCTTAGTCTGTGCTTAACACATTAAATTGGTTCCCATTTACTAATTTCTTGCAAGTATATCATAAACTGGTTAAAATTTACAACTAAATTAAGTCAAATTGAAATGAATTTAAATTATAGTTTACCACTTTATTAAAGTGTGACTGTGAATGAGTACTTTACCTTTTCTAAATGCTTCAGTTACCAGTCTACAGAACGAAATTCTTCAAACCAGGGAAATTCAGTTTGAAATAGATCAGCAAATAGAATTACAAGCAGCAGATTTGTAACAAAATATAAATTAATTTTGTTTAAAGATCGAGGTCTTGAAATTAATGCTTCATAAAATATAGTAATTGTTAGTAGTAAATCTTAATGTATATTGTATGATACCACATATAAAGATGAAAGCTACTAGTTAGATATTGTGTCTACCTTCTAATGGGTTTCTGTTTTAGGGCAACTGGTTAGCTTTATTAATAAGGACATTAATGAGAATAAGTTCATCCATTTGATCTCAGTGTGGGCCAGTGAGCTTTGCTTTGTTTCATGATCACAGACTGGACTCCTAATCCTTGTGGTTATTATGTGAATTTGTAATGCTCAAAATGAGAACACTAATGAAACTGGTCAGTATGAACACAACAGTGCAAATCCCAAAAGACCATTTATATGTGTTTGTGTGTGTATTTGTGTGTGTGTATGTATTATGTGGAATGTACTATAGCAAAGTAGGTCCAAAGGATCCTGTAAGGATTAGGCAAGGATCAGGTTATTAGAATAGCTATGGAATAAACTATAAACTCATGGCAATCACCCAGGGTAAATATTTAAAGTGCCCATATAGTTAAGACATGACAGGATTCATTTTTTAAAAAATTACTTAATTTTTTCTGGTTTTATTTTACTTGCTACTTGGTAGCAAAGAAGATGCATTGTTTGAAAGGAAGGACAGCATGGCTTTTGTTTATTCTCCCTAGGCCTTAATACTATGTTCACAAAGTAGCAGTGGTACTACCTTTTCTTCACATATTAAATTACATAATTTGTTTAAGGAGAAAAAAATGGGAGAAAATATTTTGGGCTTTTTAGAAGAAAGGCACAATATTCAGCTAAGGGTTTCTATTATTTTTATGACCTTTTTAAAAAAAACAAACCCTTAAATATAGATTGTTGGAGTAGGGAAAGTATATTTTGCCCTGAGATAGCAAACCACAGAGACAATGAAAGTTGATTTAAGAGCTGCTGAACTCTTAAATCTAAAAAGATCTAAAAAAGAGCCAAGTAACTTCTTGGGGACTAAATAGAATGGAACTAAGAGAACTGAAAGGACCATTGTGGTTTCACAATTCTCAATTCTATAAGTCTGTGATTTTATACACATGGAGTGCCGTGTTTCAAGTGGCACTAGTTAGGTTTATTTCCTATAAATCATTCCATTTTTCCTACCTACTTCTGTTTAATTAAATTAATTCTTCAGCTTGATCATTGACCTTGTCTATGGGTTCTTTTATTTAGTGCTTATACTTTTCCTATATTCTGAAACCTTTCAAACCAAACTGGCCCATTTGCTGGCAACCCAAGGTGGTTATCTTTTAGAAAAGTTCCACTGTTGACCTTGTCTAGCGTATTTCTTCAGTGCTCAACTTGACTTGGCGGAGAGTACTTACACTATGGGAAAGCTGAAATTTCATTCTCCTAAATGCAATTGTTAAGGACAAGATCATAAGCAATTAAAGACATGTTTATTGGATTTTTGTACTTTTAAAAATTGGGGGACACAAAAAAAGACTAGAAAATATGATAAGAGAAATTTGAAAAATCAAACACTGGTTGATACTGCTCTTGGTCAGCCCAAGAAGCCCAACAGGCAGCAAATATGTTGGATGATATAAAGGGACTGACAGTCTACATGCTTCAGAATTCCTTGTGTATTTTTTTCACTGCGTAAGAAAATGTTGTTGTTATTAATGACTGAATCTTATGGGAGAATATTCAGCTGCATCTTGCCTCAAAATAGCTATAATTTTCATGTGGTTGATCTTGTGCTCAGTTGGCCATAGCCCTGAGGAAGGGACCGTTTTTGAAGAGAAAAATAGTGGTTTTCCTCACTGCTCACTTCTTTCTAAAATCAAGTATAGAGCCAGAAAAGAAACATATTGGCCTATCTAGCATTTCTATTGCTCTAGATAGCATTATGAATGATGAGAAACTCTTTAGCAGAACACATCAAAAAGAAAAAAAAATGTTTTGTGTTTCTAATTTGTATTATCTTTATTACCTTCTAAATCAAAGTGTTTTTTTTTAAATCTTAATTTAGAGATAGAAACTTACTTTGTTAGTTTAGAGGTATTTCACTGGAGACAGCAACAACCACAATTGCCAAGTAGCTAGAGGAAATGATTTCTCAAATAGAAGGGAATGTTATTAATTCCCAAGATAGCAGTATGGTAAATTCAATGGAATTAGTTTGTAAATTTGACTTGGTAATGAACCATGGAAGAAGAAGAAAAAAAAAGTGCCAGAAATTTCCTCTAAATCAATAGCTAACACTAGATACCTGAAATGCCATGAGACTTTTACAGAACATTTTAAATAGCTGGTGAAAGTAATAATAGTCAATTATATCACAGGCTTGACAAAGAGAGCCACAACTATTGAGTCTTGAAAATACAGACAGAATATAAATCCAGGGAAAAAATCCTTATAAAAATTGGGAAATAAGGACCTTTTTGTGTTTTGTCTAGAGAACTTAACTATTAAGAGGAAAAAAAATCCATGAATCTCAATTTGCAGCCTATATTTTCCCTTTTCAAGTCCTATTTTTCATCTGGAGTACTCGGGAAAGGGAATCTTTCAGAATGAGAAAGAAAATAGAGGTAAGTTTAGAACAGGAAAAGAGCCAGTAGGAAAAGAAATAGGCATGAGAGGGATTTGTAGCTTTAAACCAACCGGGCTTCATACAAAGGAAACCTGCAAGAGAGAAAAAAACGTCTGCAAATGGCTATTTCAGGAAACTTAATTGCCTTGGGTGTATACACTATAATGATGACCAAGATAATTTTTAGTGAAATGAAAAGTTTAAACTATAAACTTACATGCAAAATTACACTCAGAAATATAAATGAGGTTTTTGTGGTATGAAAATTAACTGACTTATGGACTGTAAGATACTATAGTTAGAAAACTAAGATTTTTTTATATATGATAAAATTTTTTATAGCAGATAAAATAATCATGTGAGACATATGTGTTATATGCATGTACAGGGACACACATGCACATATTTCACCTCTCACATCTATCATGAATTAAATGGCCAATTCCATCACCCTTCATCCATTTTCCTGCTTTGTCACCTATTGCCAAATGAAATCTAACATCATCTTCTGGTATTCACTGAGGGCTGTTTGGTGCTATGTTGATATGGCTCCTTCTTTGCAGAGCTGAAAGAAAATCGAAGCTGCTGTCCTCGTGGAAAATAAACAAATGCACAGTAGTAATTTCTCCTGTGGATCATCTTATTGGTGATGACAGCCCAAAGTTCCTATTTATGTTAGCTTGTTAGAAATATATTTGTCATTGGCATTCAATTAAACAAGGGGAGTGTTTGCAAGGGAGTGTTTGACGGCAGAAGGAAAGTTAGGTGTGACGTGCAGTGCCCTGGGAGAGTGTGGCTTTGGTGGAAATGTAGACGTGGGAGTGGAAGCAGTGGCCAAAGGTGAGCTCCACAGACTTGCAGGACGAGGTGAAGAGAGGGAGAGAGCTCTCATGCAATGCAGAGATCGCTGCCAATGTATACTCTTAGCGCATTTTAAGACATGGGGACATTTTATTTCAAAGGCTCAGGGACCACTTCTCCTTTGGTCTCTTGCCCATTTAGCAGTTCAGGCTGCCATTTGTGCACCAGATAAATTGTGAAATTGAAAGTTCCTTTTGTGTTTCACTGTTTTATATGTGGTTGCTAAGGTAAATGTTTAATAAGCAATCACAGGTCGGTTACAGGTGCTGTTTCTTTTTTATATGGATGTAGTTGTGAGCAGCTCTGGGAGAAGAGCAAAGCATATGCACAAGGTTTCAAACTGAGTTTTATTGCTTCATTAAAGTTGTTACAGTGTTTTCCTCCAACACGACTAACTGAATGAAATAAAAGAAACTGCCTTCAAAGAAGGATAGAGTTGCTTCCTTCCCGTCTATATCTTCTTTTAGTGTCTGGTTTTTATTATCGATTCATTTTTTTCTTCAAATACTAAAGCCTCTTACTTTTTATATGTATTGTTTGATACATTTAAAGTAAAGAGTTATTTTACCAGGGATTCAAACAACAAAAATAGACAAGTGAACTTTCTGGATTTTCAATTCCCATGCCCAACCCCTTTTTATAATAACAAAGGGTGGCATTTTCTCTTGAACATGTTTGTCTGTTTTTCTTTAAGCTTTTACTCCTCATTTTCCATAATTAACCACATTGGCTGGAGCTTATATACTGTGGTTATTTACTGAGTGATTTGGATTTTCCTCTTTACGTTTTTCTACTAATGGAGTCTATTGTTTGTTCATTTTTTTTTTTAATTAAAAGATGTTCCAGCCAATTTTCCTTCCAGTAACATCCAATCATAGGCCTTTATGTTTTCTTTATTTCACTTCAGAAATGGACAATGATAAATGAACAGTTATCAAAGTGCTATAGCAGGATGTCTGTGACCTTGATTTTGCAGTTAGCGCTCTGAATTGCTTGTCTGGAGCATGGGCTCCATCTCTTTCTCTTGGCTTTTGCACTACCTGCTTATGTTTTGTTTTCTTTGTTTTCATGTTCTTCCTCATTAAGGTCAGTCCAGTTTCTCTCTATGAAGCACCTTGTTATGGAACATGAAGACAGGCCTCATAGACCAAGGACCAACCAAACCCTAGACAACTGTGTAGTCTTACCACTCTGAGATCTATACTTACATAAGTATGAATAGCATTGTATCCCTAATACACATAGATATACATATACATACTAAATAGTATGTAAATATATTTTTGTACATCTAGATCTATTATCATCAGTCAATCTACCTAATTACCTATCTATCTATCTACCATCTATCTCTTCAGGAAAGGAGTTCAAAGATTAGTGTGTTATCAGTTATCTCTGGAAGAAAGAAAATTTTTCTTTCAGTGGGTGGGGGGAGGGCACCGAAAATCCAAAACCAACTTTTTAAAAACCTTGACCCATCCCTCAATGTCCTTTTAAAGGAGTCCTCCCAAGGCTTTTGACGGTGGTTCTGTGAGGGACCACTGAGAAGCAACTCTTACAGGTGTGAAGGGGAAGTCACAACCCAGTTCTCACGAGTGTGTACAGGCATCTCCCCAGATAGCGTCCCGATGCTAAGAAGGAGGACAGTAATGCTCTGTCACATGTGTCAAAAAGAAAGTCATGGTGGTCCAAAGCTACCTGTCAGCCAGTGAGCATTGACTTCCACTGCTTTGGTCACGGCCTCCCCATAGGCTGCAAATCTCTATTCTAAGAAGAAAAGGAGCCAGCCCCAGGGTCGCCTGTTTTCACCTGTAGAATTTGTATTTCTCTGTCCTTTCTGGGAGTGAATTAACTTGCATGGGTCTTTGGTGACACTAATACCCATGACACACCAGCTGGTCCCTGTACTCTGCTCTGGACACATCGGTGACAAGTGAGGTTAAGCAGGCACAGAATGCCTTCTGGTGAGGACACAGGTACTTATAACTTATTAGCACCCAGATTTCTTGAGCTAAGAAGTGACCAGCCTGTGCTGTGAGTCAATGGTGAGCCAAGGGACATTTCAAGTTTCTTCAGGTAGGATCTGGTCTTTCCTAGACTGTCACCAAATCGGCCATACTTCATGATGATAATAATAGTGAACAATCACTAGTTTCCAGTGCGCCAGGTGTGGGCTGCATGCTTTAAATATATTAGTCCATTTAATACTTACAATAAATCTTGAGGTAGATTCTATAATTATCCCTATTTTGCAGATGAAAAAACAAAGACAGAAAGAAACTAAATAACTTCTCCCTAAAGTTATTGAGAAAGTCAAAAGTAGAGTTAGCATTGAATTTAGCAGTCGGACTCTAGACGCTGCCCTTAACTACCCTGAGGATGGGGCATATTGGGTCAGGATGATTCTGGGGACACCCCACAGATAAGGGTGGCTGCTGGCTCCAGCACACTAAATGCAGGGCATTAGCCACAAGAGTTAATTTGTTCCTGGGTTGCTAGGATATATATCAAGTAACATAAGGGAGATGAGTGTATGACAATGAAAACCTTTGAGCAGAATATACGTTTTCTGTGTGTGCACAGCTTCTCTCAGTGCAGACAGCTGTGGTTAAATATTAAGGTAAGGTTATCTGAGGACAGGATAATGGCACAATCTTACTTCATGGAAACTGTCTCCATGCGGTCATGTGCTTAAGGTGTGGCTAGCTACTAGAAAGTGTTACAGCTTATTTTGTAGGACATATAAAAACATGTTAACACCTTGAGGGAGTAATTGAATATGTGCAAAGTATTATATTATGATTTATTTAAAAAATACTGGAAGGAGAGGTAGAATAATACAAAACTTGTATTTGTCACTAAACTATTTGCAAATGAATTTCACGTTATCTCACCTAATCTTGTTTATAGACAAGGAAGCTGGACCTTACAGAGATTAAGTAACTTCCCCAAGGTCACAAATGTAATACGGGCAGAACTGGATTTGAAGTCAAGTTTGTCTGATGCCAAAGTCCTTGATCTTTGCACATCCCCGTGTGTTTGTGTGTGTGTTGGGAGCGGAGGATACTTAGTGGTAGGTGGGGGGGGGTGGAATTAAAAGGCATAAAATGTTTTTCTCTTATAGTTCCAGCAAAAGCTCAGTGGTGTGACTTCTATACATACATCCTAGAGGTCATTCAGTTAACAGATGTTATTGGGAACCACTGTGTGAAATATGTGGCCAACAGCATTACAGGATATGAAGAGACAGATAAGCCCAGAGACGCCTTGAGTTATGAAGCTCTGCCCCTTCCCAAGAGTCAGCTCTACCTCATGCCGCTGGTGGTTGGAAATGTCTGACTCAGTTTTCCTCTCTCTTTTATTTCTTGTTCAGTTCTTCCTTCCTGCTTTTTCTTTGACTATCAGCTCATTTAATTCCATCCAGGGAATTCTTTTTCTTCTGAGCTCAAGTGATAGTGGGGCCTACACTAGACAGCTCTCAGCAGGGACTGAATGGTAGAAGAAGATGGAAGAAATATTCAAAGGAAGGCAAAACAAAAGGGATGATTACTCATGATATGGGGATGGTCGAGAGGAGGGGGCTTAAAGGGTACAATGGTTTTCAACAGAGAGTCTCCTTTATTCTCAGCCCTATTGTTTCTGGGTGGTTGCAAAGATACTGCTATTGATGAATCATTCTTTAAGAAATTAACAGTAATATCTATTATATGCAACACACTAACAAAACATTGCTGCTATTGGAACTAATGGTCAAAATAATGACTCCAGCTGTGGCCAAGCTGCCTTCATATAGGAAGAAGAGATTATCAGGCCACCAGTGGTGTCATTGGTATAAAATATCTTTCCATGGGAGGAGCAATTTGTGTTGAATCTCATTATGTTATGGTTGTGAGGTGTAGGGCTTACCATGTGGCCATGGGATAATAAGGCTTGCTATAGGTCAACGTAGGGTTGGAATCCAAGATTTCTCCTTATTAGTTTGTTGTGTCCACGAGAAGAGTCACATGCCACATATTATTGAGTGCCTATAATATTCCTGAGAAAGGAAGCGCCAAATTTTCGTTTCCCTCCACCGCTCGCCATATATACATCACACCCTTGTTTAGTTCAAGAGTGCTTAATCAGAAGATAAAGAAATTGTGAGTAACAAGTCATATTATCAATGTGATAGGGGAGTGATAAGTACACATTGAGTGTTCAATAAATCTCAACAGCCCGTCAATAAAAATAGGAGGGACAGTAAATATGATGAATCTCCACTTGGAAGAGGTAACTGGGTGGGGAAGAGGCAGTGAAGAGTTATGCTGCCCCCAGGAGCCAGCAAAGCCCTCATGTTCTTCAGACTCAATACCTCTCTCTCTAAGAATGCTATTAGATGAAACAGACACACAGCTCAGGTATGGCAAATGGTGGTGATCGCCTAGACTAAGGACCAGAGAGACTGAGAATCAGAAGGCTTGGATCTTCCCCAGAGGAGTTTGGACTACACACCTAACTTTTGTTTCCTTCTCTGTAAAAGGAAGAGGGTGGGCTAGGGCAGTGCCAAGGTTTCTTACCACTTCAAAGATTCCAAGCTACTATATTTTCAGAAATCTCTAGAGATCACCAGAGAAATGCTAGGTTGTTTGCCTGACCACAGCATTTTCTTGCCTGCTCTATAACAATTTATCAGGCAGCATAGTGTTCTCTGGCAGCATCATTTCTTTCCAAGGATGATCTCTGGGGATATCTTTGCATTTTGATATAATTTCAAACTTATGAAAAAGCTGCATAAGTGACATAAGGAATTCCAAATAATACTTTTTCCATATTTACCAATTATTTACATTTTGGCCCATTTGCTTAATTATTCTCTGTGTCTGTGTGTATATACATGATATATGATATATATGCATACACATTATATATTTATAGAGAATAATTTGAGTATGTTTGATACATCGTGACCATGTATCCTTAAATAGTTTTCAGCATATTTTCTAAGAACACAGACATTCTCCTATATAACCATAGTCCGATTAAGTCCGATTATCAAAACAAGAAAAAGTAGTACTGATATATACTATAATCTAACATACAATCCCTATTCAATTTTGATTAATTATGCCAATAAAGTTCTATATGGACATTTTCCTTTGTCCAGGATCCAATTTGGCATCACTGATTGAATTTAGTTGTTGTATCTCTTTTGTCTCTTTAAATATGGAATAACTCAGTCTTTCTTTGCCTTTCTTGATGTTAAAAGTTTTGAAGGATGCACATCAATTGTTTTGTAGAATGTCCTTCAATTTCATCTTGTTCAATATTTCCTTATGAAAAGATTCAGATTATGCATCTTTTGGGCAGTTATACCATTGATGGTATATAATGTTCTTCTTTGTATATCATATTAGGTGGCACATAATATTGGTTTATCCCAATATTGATGATGCTCACTCTGATCACTTGGTTAGGTGGTATTTGTTAGATTTCAATACTATGAAGTTTTTGATTTTTTTCCCCTCTAAAGTTAATAAAATTTTAATCACATCATGGGATTCTAATACCTTAAACTATTTGATATTGCTATTTTACTTTTTCACTTTTTTATGCTAAAATTTGGATGATTTTTATTGACCTGTTGTCAAGTTTACTCTTTTCACTGCTATTGCCAATCCATTGACAAGCTGATTGAATGAATTCTTCATTTCAGACATTACATATTTTATTTCTAGCAATATTTCTATTTCTATTATATTCTGTTCTATAAATATTTCTATTTCATTTGGCTTTTTTAATATATAGTTTTCATTTCTGCCATAATTACACATCTGGTCATGTATGATATGTACCCTTTCCACTAGTTCCTTTAACATATTTATCAAAGTTATTTTAAAGTCTCTTGTCTTATAATTTTAACCTCTGGGCCATCTCTGAGTCAATTTCTATTTCCTTCAAAAATTTTTATTTTTCCTCATATGTTTTGTAATTTTTGATTGTATGCAAGACATTTTTATGTAAAAAAAACCACAACCCCCCCCCCCAAAACCCCAAAACAGTAGAAATTGAAGTAAATAATATTTTTGCCCAGGAAAGGAAAACCTTTTTTCCTGTCAGCAATCCATCTAAATTGTAGTTGAGCCATGTCTGGAATTTACTGTCATTTTAATTACATTTAGTTCACCATTAGGTTAATGATTCAAGAATGAGTCAGTACTTTACCTTCAACAGCGCCAGACCTTTTTGTACAAACAATCTTCAGCTTCCTGAGCCATGGGAATCTCATTCTGCTTTCTAAACTGGCTTCAAGCTTTTTATGTTGCCAAGGAGTTCTCTTTGCTCTTCAGTTCTGCCTCCTGGTTTTCTGTGGTTTCTTATCCTTGGAATATTGGGCAGTGTGCTCAGTGAATGCTAAGAGTGCCTGTAAGGGGTTCTAGAATGTTGTGTTTCTGATTGGAAGCAAGGCAAAAGAGCTATAAAAGAGACCTTGAGTTCCCAGGAAATTGCTCCTAAAAGGGATATCCTAGGTTTCCTGCCATTTCCTCCAGCTGTAGGCAGCCTCTAACAAATACTTAACAAAGTCCTGCCATGACTTGTAGGGTCTCTCTCAGTTCTCCTTTCCTCTTTTCATCATTCGGCAAGTGCCTGAGTTTTAGATATTCTGTCCCAACTCTCTCGCTCTGTTCACAATCTTTTCCATGAACACTTAGTGAAGGCCTCTGGGAAAGATTTGATGACTAGGTGCAGATTCTCATTGTGGATAGAGCTCGAGATTCTAAATATCACACCAGCTATCATTTAGTCATTAAAATTCTTACAGAGTTCAGCTGGTTTCTCCTGAAACCTATTAATGGTAACTTCTTCCTATGCCCACTGTCCTACAAAAGATGATAGGAGCTGCAGGGCATTTCCTAGAAGGACTTGTTACTTCCTAGATTTTAGCTCATGTCGGTTTCTTTCATCCTTGGCTATCTGATAGATTCATTAACAAACGCATGACTTTTTAGATTATTTGGCTTGTCTTTGATATTAAAGTAGAGGTGGAAGCAGAAACTAGGATCTAGCATCCTTTTAATATATTCTGCCCAGAACACATTCAGCCCTCTGTATCCATGGGTTCCACAACCATGAATTCAACCAACCAATAGAAAATATTTGACAAAAAAGGATGAAACATGTATAGACTTTTCTTCCTTGTCATTATTCCCTAAACAATATAGCGTAACAACTATTTACATAGCATTTATGTTGCATTAGGTATTATAAGTAATCTAGAGATGATTGAAAGAATATGGGAGGATGTTCATAGGTTATATGCAAATACTATACCATTTTATATAAGGGACTTGAGCCATTTGTGGATTTTGGTGTCTGTGGGAAGCCCTGGAACTAATTCCCCCACGAATACTCAGGGACGGATATATTCTGACCACTTTCTTAATTTCAGATAAAACAAGATGTTTGAGCATCATCTTGTATATTCCCTGCTCCATCAAGAAAATACCTTCAGCAGGGCAATACCATGGATCCCTGGTTCCTTTTAGTGGAGAAGCTGCTATTCTTTAGAAGGCAATTTTGGATGCTAGATGTGCTCATTGCTACTGGTGTTACTGCTTTTATGTCCTCTCAGGTAGACAGAGCTGGGAAAATTCATGTATATATAATCTTTATTTATCCATCCATCTAGTAAAAATTACGAGTTCCTAATTATGCCTCCAATTTTAACCTAAAACAACAATGTACATTCTAATTTACCTTTTCCCATATTTGTAACTTTGTTCTGCAACAGTGAGAAACTTGAATACCATCATTCTTAATATATTTACTCATTTGCTTTAGATTAGAATACACAGAAAGTAGTTTCAGAATTGCTGAACCATACCTCTGGGGGAAAAAAACCCCTACTAATTAGACTTCAACAGTTGTTTACTGTTTTAAAGGTAAAATTTATGTACATTAAAATAAAAAATATCAAGTGTATAATTCAATGAATTTTGATGAGTGTGTACATTGTGTAGTCCATACTCCTATAAAGATATAGAATATTTCTGCTACCTCAGAAGATTTCCCTTCCTATTCAATTCCCCCCTCATTCCCTTGAGTAAACATGATTTTACCTTTTTTCACTGTAGATTTGTTTTGCCTGTTCTAGAGCTCCATATAATGGAAGAATACAATATGTATTCTGTGTTGGGCTTCTTTTTACTCAGCATAATGTCTGTGGGATTCATATGTGCTGTGTGTATCAAATCAACAGTTTTTAAATTTTTTATTTTTTGCTGAGAAACATCTCGTTATATGTATGCTTCCCACAATTTGTTTATCTATTCTCCTATTGATGGACATTTGGGATGTTTCCAGATTTTTGCTATTATGAATAAAGCTGTTATGCACATTCTTGTACAAGTCTTTGTGTAGACATATGTTTTCATTTCTCTTGGATATATGCTTGAGAACAGAATTGGTCTGGCATGGGTAGGTGTTTGTATACCTTTATAAGTAATTACAAGACCTTTTGCCAAAGTATTTGTACATCAAATCTGGCTTTGACTTCATTTCAACATATTTCTTTTAGGGGGCTTTTGGCTTCTAGTAGGGGGCTTTATGGCTTCCTCCATTGTTATTTTCCTGGCCTGAGTGCCTTCATAGAAAGGGCTCCAGCATCGGATTGGTTTGGAGGCACATAGGACCTTCTGAACTAACTGGAGAGGTGAGTTAGGCCTTCAGCTGCCTTCAGCTGGGTTTCAGTGAAGTGGTAACAAATCTGCATGTTCAGTGTATGAGTTCCTGATATTCCCTAAACCCCTTCCTACACCCCAATCATGAAACCAGTCAATTCTTAACACCATAGTGGAGTTGTCACACTTCAATTGCAGCTGGATTTAGCATGTATGAGGGGACATTTCCTCTCCAAGGACTCCCCCAGAGTTTGTCATTTGGAGCTTATATTATCCTCTGCAAGCCATAAGGGTCTGTGATGCTGAGGAGTGGGTGGTGGGCAAGGCCTCCCTGTTGGCTGATGTGACCCTTGGGATCTTCTAGTCACCCCCCAGCAGAGCAATTGGAGGCTACACCGTGGCTGAACCTGGCTCTCGTCGTTGTGATGTCTGGACTTCACGAGTGCTGTTTAGCTAAAACTTGTCATAAACAAAGTGACAAAGGTGTTTGAAACTCTGCAGTGTTTTGAAATACAGTAAAACGTCTATCCCCCAAAATAGCACTTGTACAGCATTGGAGAGTATGCATTCCCTTTCTCCTTCTCTCTCTCTCTCTCTGTGGATGCTGCTGTTGGATTTTCTTTCCCTACTGCAGTTCATCCTATTACCTCGTCCCTTCTTTGAATGCAGTTTTCTTACCAGATTTAGACACATTTTCTCGCTAGCAACCTCCTTCCTCTAGACTCAGTCCTACTCTTCCTTTCAGGTTGATTGGTGTCACAGGGCGTTATCATCTGTTATGGCCTGGCCGCGTCTCCTTAAGAGCGGGAGACACAAAATCCTTGGTAATCACAGTGCTCGCCTCGTAGAGGACTTTTGTGATTAAAATGTTTTATCATCGGAGGTTGTCCTGTGTTTGTTTTTTTTTTCTTAATGTGGCTGCTGTGATGAACTGTTATACTGTGAACAGGGCTGTGATACTCCTCTAAATGGAGCAGTACAAATGTGTTTCCTGATGAGTCAGTTCATTTTAGGTAACAAACAAGGCCCTAGGTCACAGAACAGGTTCAGGCAATACAGGCCAGGAGAAAACTGTTGATGAAGAGAGCAGCCAGGCACTTTGCTTTTGAGTAAGGGTGAATGTGTCAGGAACCCTGGTTCTCGTCAAAGAGAGAAATTGTTGTCACTACTAATTTGGACTCTACCTTCTTTCAAGTTTCTGAAACATGATATTCTTCCTGGAGAAATCTGGAATCCCGTGTTGATTTTTCTAGCCCCACCCAAACCTCTCTCTAATGCCTCTTGCCTTAGGTATACTCTCTGAAGTGTTCTTTCTTGTTAATCCAACTAGGAACAAATGTATTTATTTATATTTTTTTTGAGACAGAGTCTCGCTCTGTTGCCCAGGCTAGAGTGCTGTGGCATCAGCCTAGCTCACAGCAACCTCAAACTCCTGGGCTCAAGCCATCCTCCTTCCTTAGCCTCTCGAGTAGCTGGGACTACAGGCATGCACCACCACACCCAGCTAATTTCTTCTATTTTTAGTTGCTAAGATAATTTTTTTTTCCCATTTTTAGTAGAGATAGGGTCTTGCTCTTGCTCAGGCTGGTCTCCAACTCCTGAGCTCAAGCAATCCTCCTGTGTTGGCCTAGGATTGCAGGTGTGAGCCACTGAGCTCGGCCAAAGAACAAGTTTCAATAGCACTTTAAGCCACAAAACATTCATCCTCTCATTTAGCCATCTAGCCTTTTATTTATCCTTCTCCCAAACATTGACTGAACAATCACTAATGTGCTCAATAAATGTATCGGGCATAGTAGTCAATTCGATGTGAATAAGATAAGATATAGCCCTTTCCTCCAAGAGATTATAGTTTAGAAGACATGGGGAGGTAAATGATGGCTGTATATAAATGACTATAATAAAAGAAACAAAGCAATGAACTCCACAAAAGAGATATTAAAGTGCTATGTCAGGGGAGAAGAGTAGTGCTCATACTTTTTGATTATGCAACCTATTAATAAAATTTTTTCACACTTACATACTGTATATATTTTTATATAAATAACGTATATATACTCTGTACTAATATATGACACACATTATAATTATATATAAAAATGGAGATTATAAATATAAAGATGAAATAGGCCATATTTTAAAAATGATTTTAATTTTATTGAATCATACAAAACTTTTCTTGTTGTTATTATACTATTAATAACTTTTTTAGTGATAGTAATGTGGTTTACATGTCAGATAAGATTCAGCAGCTGTTGGTTTTGCATCTAAAGTGGCTGATTTAAAGCTTGTATTGGGCAGATGGGGAATGTCACATCTCTCGTTTAATTCTTGTTTGCAGGTGCTTACGTTATTACTATTATTTTTAATTTGCAGGTTCTTTGTAGGAAATAATATTAGGCATGATGTAAGAGTTAGTTTAATTAAAACCTAGATGAGACTATCCAGATATCTACATAATCTACAATGTGTCACAATATGCTGAAAATGAATGATGAATAGATGCCATAGCATTGTGTAACTCCAAACTTTTGATCATTTGCTCTTCCCCTGGGGTGTGTGCATACCAGCTTGGAGACCCTGGGGTTAGAGGATGGGTTCTGCATGAGTCCTTCATGTATGAGCACATCACAGAAAATTTCACAAACAAGCTTAACTTTGAATGATGTGTAGAAACCAGAGGAGCAAGCACTAGGAAGAGAGTAAATGACGTG